GCTTCCTCTGAGAGAAGGTATTATCATCATGTAGTCAAGATGTTATTAGCAGCTGTGATTTGATCAGAAAGAGTCTTCCAGTGGGTATGAAGACAGGTCCCCAAACACTATTATGTTCTGTGAGTCTGAACTATAGTATAATAAAATAATAATAATAATAACAATAATAATAATTATAGCATTTATATAACACTTTAGGGTTCATAACATACTTTATGTATATGATCTCATTTGATTTTCGCAGCATCCCTATGTTATGTTAGGTGATACTATCATTATTCCACTTTTGCAGAAGAGGAAACTGAGTCTGAGAGAGGTTAAATGATTTGCCTGGACTCTCACAGCTAACAAGTATTTGAGGTAGGATTTCAACTCTTCCTGACTGGGATCTAGAAAGCTATCCACTGTACCATGTAGCTTTCCTCCTAAGAGTTTAATAATTAGCACAATATGGCATGGCATAGCACAGCATGGCATAGTACAGAATAGTATAGGTCCCTGAGACCCTTTCAGAGGGTCTGTAAGGTCAAAACCACTTTCATAATAACACTAAGATGTTTTAATGTCTAATATGGTAAATCTCAATAGATATAGCCCACATAAACCAAAGCTCTCTGAGGAAATATCCTCAATAATTTTTAAGAGTATAAAGGGAAGCCGAGACCAAGAAATCTGAGAACTGTGGGTATAGATAATAATCATAACAGCTAACATTTGTATAATGCTTTAAAATTCACAAAGGACTTTGCATACATTATCTCATGTAGTTTTCCTAACTATCTTGTGCAATAGATAGTATTGTTATTTCCATTTTATAGATAAGGAAACTAAGGTTGAGAGAGTTAAATGACTTGCCCAGGGTCAGCTACTATCTTGAGGTAGAATTCAAATCCACATCTTTCTGACTTCAAGTCCAGTATCCTCTCCATTGTACTACCATGCTATCTCTAATATACTCTTGCTTAACTAAAGGAGCCAATAGCATGATTGTGGCTAACATAATACTTTATTCATCTCTATGTGAGTTTTGTAGTTTTTATCAGGAAAGCATAACCTGGCTGGGTGATCTGAGGTATATTCCCATACCAACATCACATCTGCTTCTCTGGCTCTTCATTCTAATTCAAATGTTGTCTCTACTGGGCATCCACTCTCTGGTTCATAGTCTGTTATCTTGGTAAACATTTCACCATTATGAACTACTCTACTGCCTCTTCTATCAGGTCTGGTTGTTTTGACCCAGGTGCATCCTTTCATTGTCTTATTCCGGCAGCAATCTATATGAAATCATATTTACTTGGTTGTGTTAAAATTTTCAATTTTATTTTCCGTACTTCGTATACTAGTGTGTTGGAACCTAAGGCTATAAGTCACATTACTGAATCTCTTCCCTGTTACTGACATCTTAGAATTACTGAGGACCTACTTGCTCTGCTGGAGTATAATCTCTATGTCCCACCTGTTGTCCATAGTAGTATATGGCTTGACAGTTTTAAGTGGGCATTTTTCTTCCTGTTACAAAGACAGCAGTTAGAAGAAATGACAAGAACATGAAAGATACACACACACACACACACACACACACACACACACACACTCTTCTGATCTATTGCATGATGCTTTCCTCTGAGTATTCTGGCTGGGTAAAGGTCACAGGGGCACTAAAAATTAAGAAAAAACAAGCAAACAAAAAAGAACGCTAAGTGATCTATCCCCACACAGAGACACAATGGAGTGGTAGAAAGAGTCATAAGGCATGGGTCTAAGTCCTGGATTTATTACTAGCTGCATAATCTGTGCCAAATCACCTAACTTCCCTGGGATTCCCCATCAGAATAAGGAAGAAATTCAACTGATTGATCTCTAAAATCTCTCCCAGTATGAAGATTTTATGATTTATTGATACTTATTCCTTTTGAAACAAAGACGGCTTCATTTCATAATAATGTATAATAAGAAAAGCATAGGAAATGGAGTAAAAAGAAATTGGGATTCAATCATGACTGTGCCATTTAAATGTCTATGTGATTTTGGACAAGTCATTTACCCTCTCTGGGCACCAGTCTTCTCATCTATAAAAGAAGGTGTTTGGGTTAATGATCTGTAAAATCCATTCCAGCCTTAAATCTTATGATTTTGGATGCTTTAGTCATATGCTCTCTTAGACATGGACAGAACATGCCTTTTCTCTCACCTGCATGGTATTAGAGATGAGATGCCACCTACACTCACTTGAAATACCTCTGAGCATAGTCCCTCCTGGGGTGGTGAGGACACTGGGACTCAGCAGTAGACAGTCCAACGTCACAGAAGCCCTACGTCATGTCCTCCACCTACGAGTATGATGCTTGGGAGTGTTGTAAGATTGTGAGGGAGGAGGCCAGGGTGGAAATTCCATGTAGGGAAGAAACCGTTCCATTTCAGCATTGGGTACTAAAATAGCTGCTAATAAAAAGCTTTCAAACCATGACACTTCAATACAGACACCCACAAAGATACCTTGACAAGTTACTTGCCTCCTCACAAGCCTTTTTTTTCCTGCTTCTCTTATGTGGGGCCGCCACCAAAATCACCCACACACAGATACAGCTGTGCAATGACAGAGGAGGCCAGCAGGCATCTGTCTCTGTTGCCAGTCTTGACTAGAGTGCTGTTTGTTTCTTGCTATAAACATCTGTGCTGTGAGGCCAGCATGTCCTGTAACAGCTCAAATCATGCAAAACATGCTGCTATTCTCTTCTTCCCTTCTTTTACCCTACCTCTTTTCTTTCTTTCTCTCCCTCCCTTCCTCCATAACTCTCTGTCTGCCTTCTCCCTCTCTCTCTCTGTCTCACTTTCTCTCTGTGTGTCTGTCTGTCTCTGTCTGTCTGTCTGTCTGTCTCATAATTTTGCTGTCTTTCATTTACTCCTTTTACAGACACTTAATTCAGAGACAGTTCATTCCCCAGGAGATTTAAGTGAGGCTACCTTAAAATAACGCTTCATTTGCATATTCGTCATAAGAAATATCATAAGCCCACTCAAAATAACATGTTGTTATGGAGCTAGACTGCAATCCTAGGAAGACTGGATGTGAATGCATAAAAGTGGTTCATCAGTCAGGAGCATTCTCATCTGGCTCTGTCATTCCACTACCTGTCTGACCTTAGGCAAAAGTCACTGTACCTCTTGGGGCTTCAGTTTCCTCATCTGTAAGATAAGGAGCTTGGATTGGTTGAATTAAGACTCTTTCTCTACATCTACAATTCTGTTTTTTGCTATCTGGGAACTCATAGCTGACATTTAGATGGTGATTCATGGTTCATGGTTTACAAAGTGCCAATTACTGGATGCTCACAACAACCCTGTGGGCTTAGCTGTTAAAATGATCTTTCTAGAGCACAGGTCTGACCATGTCACCACTACCCCCTCCCATAGTCAATAAACTCCATTGGCTCTATATTACTTCCAGATAAAATAGCAAATCCTCTGTTTGGCTCTTAAAGCCTTTCCTAACCTGAGCCTTCCTACCTTTCCACTCTTTTTTTTTTTTTGCCTTTTTTTTGGTGAGGCAATCAGGGTTAAGTGACTTGCCCAGGGTCACACAGCTAGTAAATGATATATGTCTGAGGCCAGATTTGAACTCAGGTCCTCCTGACTCCAAGACTTGGAGTCTATCCACTGTGCCACCTAGCTGGCCCCCCTTCCACTCTTCTTAAACGCCTTACTCTCCTTCACCCACCCTTAGCTAGATCAAAGGGTGGGTGAAGGAGAGTAAGGTGTTGTTCCTCAAACATGACACTCCATTTCCAGACTCGGTGCATTTTCACTGACTCCCCTCCTCATCTCCTCCTCCTGGCTTCCCTGGCTTCCTTCCATTCTCAGCTAAAATCCCACCTTCTTCAAGAACACTTTCCAATCCTCCTTAATCTTCATGCTTTCCCTCTGAGACTACCCCACATTTGTCTTAGCTATATCTTGCTTGTGCATAGCTGTTTGCAAAATTTCTCCACCATTAGACTGTGAGCTCCTTGAGAGCAGTGACTAGTCTTTTTTGCCCTTATTCATATCCCCAGGACTTAGTAGTGCCTGGCACATAATAGGTGTTTAAAGAAGCTAGTTGACTGACTGGCCCACACTATCCTATAGATGAAGTACTTGAACCTCAGAGATATGAAGTGAGTTTCCCAATACCACGCAGGAAAAAACGTGGCAGAGCTGGGATTTGAATTGGTCTATTATTTTCAAATCTACTGTTCCTACCTTTCTGAACTCAGAGAGATTAAGTGACTTGCCCAAAGCCATGCTGGTAGGACATAGCAAAGCTCAAATTTAACTCAGGTCCTTTGTCTCCAGGTGCAGCCTAAATTTCACTCTGACAGTGCCTCTACTACCTACCTCTCTCCTAGGAATGCCTTGAAGAAAGCACTTTGTAAACCACAAAGTGCCACAGAAACATGAGCTAGTACTCCAAGTTTAAGGGGAGGGGAATGCCACATTGGGAGATCATTAGGCCATTCGGAGGGCCAAGACATCATGACCTTGGGTTCATCTCTTGATGTTTAGAAACCCAGTCATGAAATGACTGGTGAACTTAGTCACTACCAAATTAAAAACCACTGTAGGTTTGCCTTTCTACTGATAAGATTTCTAAACGAATCTAGGTTTGCCTAGATTGATGCCAAAGGATGGAAGGCTGGACTTGAACTCTGGAAGACCTATGTACTCAAGCCCACCTTGACATTTCCCAGCTATGCGACCATGGGCAAGTCACTCTATCTCTCTGGACCTTGGTTTCCTCATCTGAAAAACAAAGGCAACAATACTTGTAGCACCTATCACACAGGGTTTTGGGAAGATCAAATGAGAACAAATGGAAAACACTTTGCAAACTTCAAAGTGTGATGTAAATGCCAATTATTGTTAGAGGAGTCATTTCATACTTTTGAATGAATGAATGGATGTGTGTGGAGGTGAGCTAGTACTGAAGCCTTCTCTGTCTGTAACATCTCCTTCTCTAGCTTCCTTGCTAGGCTGTGGGCTTCCATCCATCATCCTGACATGCATGCGGGCTGATTCAGACCATTCTCTCATTGATAAGACTCAAGTATGATCTTCGGATCAAAGCAGGTAGGTGGGAGTCTCAGAGTGAACAGATTTCACCAAATCAGTAAATGTAACTCCATGGATTATGGCAATTGCCAAATAATCTGCTGCTCTGGCTTCTCTCTGCTATAGTGTGCAAAACTTTAGCACCTGCCTCTCTTCCTACCATGCAGAAGAATACAGAAGAAAGGGAGCCTACAAATCTGTAAACACTTCTGAGTGTTAGCAAATTCACACTGTATTCTATGGTCATTGGTCCTGTGCTGCCCTGCCATTTGAAGCTTCTTAGAATGACTGATTTTATCCCAGTACGGGATTCCATCCTAGTACATGCCTTCCCACTGTTAGAATAGACAGACACTTAGGCTTCCTTGGGTTATGTTTTGTCTAACTGCTGTGGCCTGGCTTTTTGCAAACATCCCAACAGGTGCTACGTAATACCTGTAGCCATTTGGTGTGTTAGCTTAGTGCATAGGTAGACATACACCCACATCAGAAAGCCCAACGTATAGGACATGGCAGAGACTTCATATACACTTGCTAAATTGAGTGGGAAGTAGACTTTTGAGATACTCCAGCAGTCCTGGCTATTTATTTTTGACTTTACAGTGGCGGATTACTGATTTTGCCATACTCAACCCTACTTACAATTACCATCAATTCTGGCTCCTATCTTTCAGTTCTGCATCAAGACTGAGCAATCAACAAACAGCTGAATGGAACGGGTAATGACTATTGTCAGCAGAGGAATGGAATAGTGGATTCGGAGTCAGAGGAGGTGTGTTTGCCTCTAGCCCTGCTACTTTCTACCTGTGCTCTTGGTCAACTCATTTAATTCCTCTGAGCCTCAAATCATTCACTCATCTATGAATCGAAGGGGTTGATTCTGGAAAGACATTTGGATCTATACTCTCCAAATCACAAAGTTATGTGTATCCTATGACCCAGGAATACTAGACATATATGCTAAAGACAAAACAAAACAACACATCTGTAAAACACAGATTTAAAGCAAGACTTTTTGTTGCAGCAAAGACCTGGAAATAAAATGGCACCCAGCAACTGGGGAATGATTCACTAAATTATAGTATATGAATGTATTGGAATCTTATTTTGCTGTAAGAAATGACAAAAGAGATAGGTTCACTGAAACCTGAGAAGACTTGTATAAGCTGGTGAAAAAGGAAATAAGCTGAACCAGGAGAACCACTTATACGCTGATTATAATTCTGAAAAAAGAAAACAACTTTTTATGATTTGAGAAGTCTGATCAAGGCAATGACCAGTCATGACACTAGAAGACAGATGTGATGAAGCATTCTTCTTACCTTTTGGCAGAGACGTGATGAGATAACAAGTGCAGAATGAGACATGCACTTTCAGAATTGGCCCACATGTGGATCTATTTTGCTTGACTACACTAATTTATTATAAGGGAGGGGCTTTATTTTGGGGAATGAGTGAAGATGCAGTGCAGGCATGATGTTAATTTTAGAGAAAGAAAAAACATCAATTAGATATAAAAACAGTACATATAAGAGCAGAAAAAAAGTTCAGAATGGGACAGAGAAAAGTAGGACAGGGTTGGTACTACTGTGTAAATTTTAATATATACTTAAAAACAAAATATGTGTTGTGGAGATTCATGGTTTCAGAGAGAATTCTCTTGTTCTGTCAATGTTTGCTTACGTTTAAGTTCATAATAAAAGAAACAAAATGAAGACATTAAACTAGATAACCTTGAAGGTCCACTTCAGCTCATTCTTACATGTTCCTACTCCCCAGGCGAGTTGAGCTTGACACTGGGATTCACGTGCTCACCCTCTGCCTGAAGGGTGCACAAAGATCTTTAAGGTAAATTTAAAAGCGCACCCCTCACACGCACCCAGGTGTAAATCTCTGACGTTATTATTTTTTAAATAAAGAGCTGTGTAAAGGTAGGGATCATATTTTGTGGTTATAGTCCTCACTTCCTTCAACCATTGAACTTAATAGATACTTACTAAGTACCCATTAAGTGTAAAAAAGATGACATATAATCAGTCCCTAGATAGTGGTACAGTGGAAAGAGCAATGGCTCTGATGATTATCAGGTTCAAATTGCACCTTTGACACTTACTACCTATGTGACCTTAGGCACATCACTTTAACCTTCCAGGGCCTCAGTTTCTCATTCTGTAAAATGAGAGAGGCAGATTAAATGGCTTCTGACACTCCTTTCAACTCTAGAGCAATAGTCCTGTGATCTTCTAAAATATTAAACACAAATGAATTAAAATTTAGGAACCCAATGCTATTTGTAAATGTAACATAATGTAGCTTCAGTTTGCATTTAATGTTAATTTATCCCTTGCTGTTAGATTCCTATAAGTAGGCACGCTCCTGTTGTTAGAAGAAGGATATATTGAAGATGATTTCACAAAACAAATGCCCTGTCATGCTTCTGCAGCCATTTTAACACAAAAAACCTAAGGAGACAGGTTCATAACACCTCTGTGAGGGAGCAAACTGTTGTTGTGCAAATATTGCAGACTGGAGGTAACAATTGTTTTTTAAATCATAAAAAATAGTTCTGATGTCCTCCAGTCAATTCCTCTCCCAGGGAAAGACTGCATTGTTCTCTCTGATTTAAACTGTGCCTTGTTTCAGGCGTTCCCAGTGGAAGCTTCTCCACAATCATAACGAATGCAAAGCAGGTGAGCATTCTACCAAGCCCAGGAGTTGAGAGGAGGTTCTGCCACAAAGGAGCCATACTCTTTCTGAAAACGCTCCAGAACCCAGTTTCTGACTTCCACTGCGGGCTGCCATCACTAGCACGCTCAATGCCACCAAAATTTGGGAAAGGTTATTCAACTTTTTTTCCATTGTAAATTCAAGCCTCTTGCATACATATCTATGAAACTAAAAGCAAAAATAAGCCAAAGGTGGTCTCTGATATTAAATGATAAACCATCATCTGTAATTTTCTTATCACCTACTGAAGTATGATAGTTAGCTAGCATTTGGCAATCTGGGGTTGGCCATGCCCTACCCCCTCCATCCTGATGCCCAATGTTTGGCTTTTTTGCTTTACATAAGCATTCTTGTTAAAATATGGGGAAAGTTAAGGAAAAGAAGGTGAAACGCAGATCAGCACATTCTGCTATTTGTTAAATCAGTTGTGGGGTGAGAGGATAATACTATTAACACTAATGAGGTTTTTGGGTGATGTGGATTTCATTTCTTTCGGAAGTCAATAAATATTTGAGTACTGGAAGGTTAATTATTTTCCTTTGCCAGTAGCAACATCATTCCGGTACTTTTCTGATAATGGCCTCATTCATCTAAGATGTACAAAGCAGTTTCTTTAAATTCTCTTCTATAAACCAAATTTCTCCATTTACTGATTTTTTTTTCTTTGAGAAATGGATCAACTAAGGCAAAAAAAAAAACCTCTCAGGCCCTAGCTATCATTGAAGAACAAGGCTGAGGAAGAATCACAGCATTGTAAATGGAGAACCAGAAAGGAACTTAGAGGTCATATAATCCCCTCTTTTTAGAGATGAGGAAACTGAGGCCCAGAGAGATTAAATGACCTGCCCCAAGGACTCCTAGGTAGTAAGTGGAAGAGCTAAGATTTGAGCCAATGTCCTCTGATTTCAAATCCAGTACCAGGGAAGTGTTCATTGGTTAGAATGGTAATGGTTAGAGTTCCTGTTCTTGTCTCTAGCTCCTGCTTCCTATGACATCATAATGAAAAACAATATTCACAACAACTACTAGTGCAAACATTTAAAAAGTATTTTCAATGGCAGCACTTTTGCGTGCTAAAGACTAAGTATGGTGAGAGGCTGGCTTTGTGAAGGGCAGAACGTGAGAGAAATCTGGATTCAGATGTTTCCTAAAGGTCAGGTTTTGCCCATGGAGGGGAGGGGGAAGAAATAGACAACAAAAGAGAAGATTGGTACCATGGAGCTGTTAATTGAGACAATTCAGCAAATATAAATGCTAGAGTAATTTTGGTCAGCTCTACAGGCTGGTTTCAATGCAAATGTGGTTCTCAGATTGCTCCCTTTATCGTGAATGTATAATTAGTTCAGCTGCAACAGGGCTGAAGCCTCACAGCAGCAGCTTCCCACTTCTCCATGACAGTCAACAGCTGCCATTCAGACTCATTCCACTAAGAACAACACAAAACTATGGACAAAATATGAGTTCTTTTCCCCAGCAACCAAGGATAAGACGCTCAGCCTTCTGGTGAAAATCTCCCTCTCTCCACTCCCAGCCAGAGGTGGTTAAAAAAAAAATCACTTCCCATTCTAATTACCTGGATGCAAGTTTGTCATGTTTATGTATATGGCAGACATAGTGAATACAATGCTAGTCTTAGAGTCAAGAATACCTGAGTTCAAATCCTGCATCTGACATATACTAACTGAACAAGTCATTTAACCTCATGGTGTTTCAGGTATTTAATGTGTCTGGATCTCTAAGACTATAAATCATAGATGGGTTATGATCTGCATTAGTGGAGTTCCCATGCAAGTTTAAATCTGTATCAGTGGAGTTGTCACTCTGTCACTGACAAAAATCATTTGACTTTGATATAAATATAAAGGAATCCTTACAAATGATGGATATGGCCACCAGCCTAATGTCTGCAGATTTGAACAGGTCCCAGAATGCATATGAGGTTTCCATAAGGAGTTAAGTGGTCACTTAAAAGAGATCAGCCCAGCAATTCATGTAGGAAAAACCAAGTGGATGAATAATACATGCCACCCAGATTGTGACAGGCTGTTAGATGGTCAGTCCATTAACACATATATCTTTGGTAGGGATTGCATTTGGGCAAACAGGGCCCAGAACTGAAAAAGAGGAGAGTGGGCTAGACAGCACATGGGAAATTTCTGGCATTTCAGTTACCACACATTGATCCCTGATAAGAAGGTAAGGATGGGCTATTATAGTCATTGTTAAAGAACAAGGAACATATGGTTAACAACATGAATCCCATAGCGCTTTCTAAAAATTTCAATGCCTTTACACTCTTATTAAAGTAGGTATTCCTTTCAGTGGAGCCAGTCATAACTGATCAATGGTTTCTTATCTTATGCAGCTCTTATCTATGAATACCCACAAATCCTCCACTGAAAGTTCACTCAACATACTATAAGTCTTCCTCTAGGACTCTGCACATAATGTGTATGCTACCCAAGTTGTCCACCTCCTCCCCTTGCTCTGGCTATATAACTGGCCCATTTTATTTTCCAGGCATCAATTTCTTTAATGATATCCTTTAAATTGCTTTTTGTACTTAATTTATTGTTGAATATACTGGAGCCCCTATATGCTCACCATGCATTTATAATATTGTGTGAAAGTTATTTTTAGTAACAATGGTAGTTACTAACTGCTAATGATGATTGTAATGGATATACATGAAGGTACACGTGGAACATATGTTTTACATGGCTGAAAAGATGACTACTCATGGTGATTGAAGGGCTCACTAAAGTGATTTAGGGTAGAGTGAATGGTACTAAAAAAACTATTACAAGCTTCTTTTAAGACAGGTACAGATAGTAAAGGACATGTAACAAGACAGATGAAGAGGTAACATTTCAGGTTATGGGCAGTAGCAACCTAAAGCATTACTGAAGTTAGAGTATGAACAGGGCTGTCATGCTATGGGACCAATAGTGCATAAACATAGTTAAAGTGTTTCTCAAACTTTTGGGGCCCTTTTACACTCTTAAAAATTATTGAGGCCCTCAAAGAGCTTTTGTTTATGTGGGTTAGATAGATAGATAGATAGATAGATAGATAGATAGATAGATAGATAGATATAGATATAGATAGTTCCTATAATATAAATTAAAATGGCTTAGTATTATTATATAAATAGTTTTGAACTTGCAGATCCCCTTAAAGGATCTCTGGAATTCCTGGAGGTCCCCAGAGCATGTTTTGAAAACTGCTCTGGTCAGGTATTTGGTCTGTGGGGAAAATAAAAAAGGAAACATGTGGAACCTACAGTATATACATTTCTTTGGGACTAAGGTAGTTTCATATATGCTTATTAAAGAAATTAAGGAGGGCAGCTA